CCATAGACCTCAAACCCTGAACCCCTAAACCGGATAAGATAACACTAATAACCTAAAACCAGACCCCATGATATAAACCCCAAAGCCGACACCCGAAACCCAAAGTCCACGTCCTACACCCCCCAAACGACAAACCTAAAACCCTAGAGCCTACACCCCAAACTCCTTCTAGCCTCGAGCTCCAAGGCGATCCAGCAAGCCAGCCCAGCTGCTTCGCGGGCCTCAGAGGGTTCCCAATTTAGGTCTGGCTTTTAGTGGTATTAGGGTTTAGGGTTCGGGGTTTAGGGTGTAGGGTTTAGGGTTCGGGCTTAGGGTTTAGGGTTCGGGGTTTAGGGTTTAGGGTGAAGGGTTTAGGGTTCGGGCTTAGGGTTTGGGGTTCGGGGTTTAGGGTGAAGGGTTTAGGGTTCGGGCTTAGGGTTTAGGGTTCGGGGTTTAGGGTGAAGGGTTTAGGGTTCGGGCTTAGGGTTTAGGGTTCGGGGTTTAGGGTGTAGGGTTTAGGGTTCGGGCTTAGGGTTTAGGGTTCGGGGTTGAGGGTTCGGGCTTAGGGTTTAGGGTTCGGGGTTTAGGGTGTAGGGTTTAGGGTTTAGGGGGTTTCGGGTTTAGATTTTAGGGTTTAGGGTTTAGGCTTTCAAAGTTTAGGTTCAGTTCTTTTCTTCTGGGGCTTAGAGTTTACTTTGCGGTTTTGGGATGAGGGTTCAGTTTCTGGTCTAACGATGACAGGCTCCGTCCACGGCCCCAGGGTTTTAGGGTCTGGGGTTTGGGCTTGAATTTCTAGTACTTCTGGGTCTTAGAGTTTACTTTGCGGTTTTGGGATGAAGGTTCAGTTTCGGGTCTGGGGCTTTGGGCTTATATTTTTTCCGGGCTACTGAGGTTTTAGCTTATAATTAGCTCCCGGGCCCAGGGATTTTTTGTTGGGGTGCTTTGCTTTTTGTTTAGGGTCTGGGGTTTGGCATTTAATTTATAAGTACTTCTCGGGCTTGGGGTTTTGTTCTGAGGCTTCGGAGCCAGCTGTTTGGATACCTAATTACAAGTCTGGACCTAGCTTGAGGTAGCTTACTATTACAGGGTTTGGATTGTTATCGGCTAGGGAAGAGGGGGCGGTAGTGCCGGGTATACATATATATATATATATATATGTATATGTATATATACTCTTTACAGCTTATTGTACTCTAGCACGCTTAGGGCTCAAGGTCGGGGGGGTGCCCCAATAGTTTGGGGGAGTGCCCCATGGCCTGATTTAGGCACAGTGACATCTTCAACCACAAGGGCCGATAGCCGCTTTCGACTGGAAGCCACGGCTTCAGATTTGAACCCGACGTCGAGAAGATGATGACTTGACCACGACGCCCTCTCTTGGCATGAGGCGTGACGTCGGTTCTGTCGAATGTGACTGTGACAGCGACTGTCGAATGTGACTGTGACAGCGACTGCTTCGTGAAGCCGACGCGACTGTCGCGCATGTCAGCCCACAGGTGTCTTCGGCAGGAGCACTCGCTGCCATAATCGGTTCAGGGAGCTGAGTGAGCCGGAAGGCTTCATCAGAAATCGCTCCAGGCAATGTCGCCTTCACTCGCGTCGTCCGCCAGGTGGACTTTGATCCGTGTGGCCAAGCCATGAAGGCTGATTTGTGATGGCTCGCACAGAACGAAAAAACTAGTATTACTGTTTCATCTAGCTATGTATTCTACACTACATAATCCCGGAAGTCCTAAACCCATAAAGACCCGATCATCCTAATATATATATATATATTATATATGAATGTTATGATATTATTATAAATATATGTATAATATAATGAGGCCAAGAGCTCTCCATCTCCCAATTCATGTGATAAAACACTTTGTAGAATGCCTTACACCCTGCTGTAAAGTCGAGTGAGCAGCTGCTTGTTAGCACAGCCTCTTAGCTAATAGGCTTGTCTACATTGCATGTGTAACAATCCAATACCCGATCTAGAGTCTCGAAATCCTACCTGCTGCGTAAAGTTATATTACAGACCCATACAAGGAAGTCCTCTAAGGCTCCCCTGGTTTGCTACAGATGTTCACACTCAAACCCTAGGTTCCTATAAACCGAAGCCTACAAGTCCTACAGTATTAATATCTATTAAAATCAGCCCAAGCCCTATGCACTACTTCATCCCAAACCCTGTCAAGGTTTCCCGGTTTGCATGTCAAGAGGCTCCACAGCTGCCCTAGGCCGTTAAAGAGTCAATGCCGTGTCATCTTTAACCCCTGAACCCTAGGCCTTTTGGCTTCGAGAACCGATGATGTCCTAATGCCCTTTGTAACATCCTTGCCAGCCCCCAATAGCCTAATTCCTAAAACTATTTGGTCTCGACGGCTAGCTCGTCAATCCGAAGGATAAACCCGATCGCACTCACCGTGAGACACTACCTGAATAACCGAACCCCACCCTCAGAGTACAGTAGTCATACAGTTAAGGGCAACGAAACGACCCAATGCAATTTGCGAACGAGCTAGTGCCCTGGCTCTCACTCACCACTTAATCCCTAGACATCCTATAAACCTTAAGACGAAGCCCTAAGTAACAATAAATTCCCCGGGCCCTACAGCTTTAAAAACCTAAGCCCTGTAATCTAAGACCCTAGAATACCCTAGAGCCTGGGCTCGCTGCTGAGGGCCACGAAAAGATTTCCCCCGCCTGCGGGGGGCTCGGAGAAGGTTCTGTTTTGGAGGTATAGGGTTTAGGGCATAGGGTTTGTGGTGTTGGGTTTAGGGATTAGGGCTTAGGGTTTTGGGTTAGGGTTCGGGGATTAGGGTTATAAACTTTGTGCCTATAGGGTTTGGAGATTAGGAATTGAGGATTTGGGTTTAAGAGAGGCTTCCGGATTGGGGTTCCCGGACCGGAACAACCCATAAACACTTGGCCCAATCCCCATTCGATTAGAAGCATATATATATATATATAGACAGCCTGCTATAAGCTGCCTCGAACCTAGATGAAACTCCGGATCCGAACTGAGGAAACTCCCTAAATCTTCCAAATCCTTAACCCTAAAAGCTTGAAAAAACCTTAATCCTCGAAACCCTCAACCCAACAAGCCTCAAAACCCTAAACCATAATACCTCCAAACCTCAGAACCCTAAACCCTAAATCCTCGAAACCCTCAACCCAAAAAGCCTCAAAACCCTAAGCCCTAAATCCTCGAAACACTCAACCCAAAAACCTCAAAACCCTAATCCCTAAATCCTCGAAACCTCAGAACCCTAAACCCTAAATCCTCGAAACCCTGAACCCGAAAAGCCTCAACTTACCGGGGTCTAGAATCGGAGCGTGGTGGGTATCGGAAGTTCGTTGACCCTAAACCCTAAATCCTCGAAACCTTAAACCCAAAACATCGCAACACCCTATACCCTAAAGCCTCGAAACCCTAGATCCTAAAAACCTGAAAACCCTGAGTTTTAAATCTTGGAGACAAAGCCCTAAATCCGAGAAGCCCCAACCCCTAAAAACCTCCTGCAGTAGCGGCAGTAGCACTAGAAGGACCATCAGCAGCAGCAGTAGCAGTAGCACTCGGATTTAAAAGAAGTAGCCTACACATATAGATAGACATCTTATATTGCTAGTCCCTGGACTCTCGTACTTGTAAGTGCACGACCTGGTTGCGACTGTAAAACCACTG